CCCCCTTTTATTAATTTTAAAAAAATTTTAAAAAATATATAAAATTAATCCCTCCAAACCATTGATCTGAAGGAATTCAAAACAGAATACTGGAAGAGTGGAGGCTTCTATCTCCCCTCATTTCTCTTCCTTCCATTAAAATCAATACTCCAAACACAAAAATGAAGCATTTTTCCCTACCCCTCTAACTTACCCAATCCAAACTAAGGCTTAATGGCGGAATCAAGGGAATCAAGTTCAACCGGACGACTGATGACCTTTGGTAGCACGAAATCGTGAGCATGAAAACCATGGACGTGAAACTAAAAATGGGTTTGCTTCAGGCCTCTTACGCTTCTGCAAATTTGTAAGCTTTTGAGCAATTCTTGAGAAGAAAGGACTCAACTCCTCTTCCGCTTCATCGAAATAAAACATGAGGGGCTTTTGTGTCTTGTAACGGTTTCCCAGTATTCCTCTCAAAAAGCCCAGACTCCAGAGTGCATTCTTCCATTTTTTTTTTTAAATCCAAATGCAGTTGGAACTGGAAGCTGCAGATTATTACAAAGCCCGCAAGAATTTGTGAAGTCAGGTCCAGAACTCTGAATTTTGGAGGAAGGTGTAGCCTCGCTGGTTCTATGCTTCACAAACAGAATTCTGAATTTTGTGCCATGAGGGTAGTTCCAAACCAAACTAGATGGTCTGATATTATCAGGAAACATCTTGCTCAAGGGTCATCAAAAGAAGTTCTTACTGTATACAATCAAATTCGTAGAAAAGGGTTTGATATTCTGGGTGTTGTTCATTTGGTTTTCAAGGCTTGTGCCTCTATCTCGAAATTGAATTATGGGAAGTCTTTGCATGCTGAAGTAATGAAAACCGCGGCGTTTTTTGACGTAAAGGTTGGTACCTCATTGCTTGATATGTATGCTAAATGTGGCCATATTACTGACGCAGGTAGAGTGTTTGACGAAATGCCTGTGAGAAGTGTGGTAACGTTGAATGCGATGATTGGTGGGTACTTAAGGAATGGTAATACGAAATCTGCATTGGATCTGTTTGGAAAGATGTCAACGAGAACTGCAGTCACATGGATTGAGATGATTGATGGGTTTGCCAGGAGGGGAGATACTGTTAAAGCTCGGAGCTTTTTCGACGTGGTTCCATCTGATTTGAGGAATGTGGTAACTTGGACTGCTATGATTGATGGGTATACTAGACACGAGGAGATGGAAGCTGCAAGAGAACTTTTCGAGGACATGCCAGAAAGGAATTTTTATGTGTGGTCATCCATGATATCAGGGTATTGCAAGAGAGGTAATGTGAAGGAGGCCAGAGCTATCTTTGATCGGGTACCAGTTCGGAATTTGGTGAACTGGAACGCCATGATATCTGGGTATGCGCAAAATGGCTTGTGTGAGGAAGCTCTTGAAGCATATTGGAAAATGCAAGCTGAAGGTTTTGAACCGGATGAAGTTACTATTGCAAGTGTGTTGTCTGCCTGTGCTCAGTTGGGGCAATTGGAAGCTGGTAAAGAAATCCATAATCTTGTTGTTGAGAAGGAAATAGGGCTTAATCGGTTCGTTTTGAATGGATTAGTGGACATGTATGCAAAGTGTGGGGATCTAAGCAATGCAAAATTGATATTTGAAGGGATGAGTCACAGGACTACAACCTGCTGGAATTCTATGATCTCAGGTTTCGCCATTCATGGGCAAAGCGACGCGGCTCTTGAGTTTTTCAGAAGAATGGAAGATTCAAATGAGAAGGCAGATGAGATTACATTTCTTTCTGTTCTCTCAGCATGTGTGCATGGGGGCTATGTAAATGAAGGTTTAGAGGTCTTTTCCAAGATGGAGAATCATGGAGTGATGGCAGGCGTCAAGCATTATGGGTGCTTGGTGGACCTTTTAGGACGCGCAGGGAGATTGAAAGAGGCGTTTGATTTAATCAAGACGATGCCTGTTAAACCAAATGATGCAGTTTGGGGATCTCTGCTTGGAGCTTGCCGAATTCATTTGGAGATGGACATGGTTGAACAGGTGATGCAAGAAGTTGTCAAAGTGCATGGAAAGATAGAATCTGGTGATGACTCACATTACGTGCTGCTCTCAAATATTTATGCCGCTTCTGATAGATGGGAGAAGGCTGAAAAAATGAGGATGAGCATGACAAACAAGGGGTTTCAGAAGACTGCAGGTTGCAGTGCAGTAATGCTTGGTTATACTGAGCAATAGATTAATGCCACATTTGAAGGGAAAAGATATCCTCTGAAATCACAAGGACTTGCAAATAGACAATTCAGACACAAATTGAATGGTTACGTGAATTGAGGTGTTGATTCATCATATACTGCTGTCAAATAGTTATGCTGCTTCTGAGGAATGTAGAGAGCCGAAAATATGAGGATGATCATGATGTTAGAGGGTTTAAATGGCCAGGCTGCAATTCAGTTAGGCTTAGTAAAACTGAGCGAAAGATTAGCACCACTAACGCAAGCTATTGAATGGAGAATGACCAAAGCATTAGCCTAAGTGGGAGGACTGACAGTTAAAATGAGTACTTGCCATGCATCAGTGAAGAATTGTCCTCTGTACCACAAAATGCAAGTAGAGGGAACAGATAATTCATGAGTGAAGATGAATCACTGGCGAACCATAACCACCAAAGAAGGTGCATTGATCCTCTGACCCATTTATCAGTTATGCAGAGAAGTCCTGAAGCAGGCTATAAATTTGTGGTCATTTACTTGCAGCCTACCTGGACTCAGAAGATTACTGCAAATCTACTGAAACAACATGAGATAACTTCTAGAAAGCTAGTATTAAATTTGAATGGAGTTCATATATTTTTGCTTGACTCTTTGTACTGTAAATATAGTTTCTTGTAAAGCTTTGCAAGAGCCACTTGGAAAATTAACTGAATATTTTTGCACTCAGTTGCTATAAATACACTCCATTGAGGGGAAAGAGATTTGAATTATGCAACACGAAAAGACTCAGCAATCCTCTTCAGATCTGTGTAATGCCTCTTCCATTGAAGACCTAGCAAGATTATAACAAAGCATAAATATTTGATGTAACCATGAGTCTCTCTATAACATTCATGTTAAAGACTAAAGTCCATACCATTGCCAATTACATTGAACAAGTAAAGGCGATTGCCAGCAGCAGTTGCTGTGATCAGTGCATGAGGTGGTTCCAACTCATACTGGTAATACATTCTTCCATCATGCTCAGCTACATTAATACTTTGAACCTTCCCTTCCACATTGTCACCTATTACTTCTGGTCCAAATGCATTAATCACTTTCTCTGGTGGTCCAATCTTTTCAATTTTAGCATCTTCACCAAGATCTATGCATAAATGCAAGCACAATTAGAGATCATTAAAACAGTCTCTTTGCGGGCATGTGTGTGCCAAGGTGCATTAGTTTAAGTATTGTTATCCCATTAGTATCAGTTAATCTGAGAACAATAGCCTAGAAAGCATCTAGAGATAATAAAAAGATTTGAGTAACTCACTATCTGCAAATCTGAGAACAGGAGCAACAATGACAAACAATTTTCCCTCCTTTGAGCTAGCAAATCTCAAGTCAATCTCTGTTCCACCTAGATCTGCAATCGATACAGGAACCTGGTACAGTTATGATTAAACCAATTAAAGAGTATCGTCAGCGTATTCAGTAACAGAGGTAAAATTGAAATGTACTCAGGAAAACAGCTTAAATTTGAAGAACCCTACTAAAAATTACCTCTTCCCAATCTTGTGGCACTGAGAAAAGGTAAGGTATAATTGGACTCCATCCAACTCCATGCCCTCCAGACTTGTCATCTGGTCTCCGGTATGTCATCCAACCTGTCTGAGACGGTAAAAATTCATTTATAATAAAAGAGAAAACAAAAAACACATCCCAAAGTCATTCCATCAGAAAAGGATTAAAATCCTTCTATTTTCTCTTGGTCCCCCTAACATTGTTTGTGGGATAATTGTGCTCAAAAACCCAACTTTCATCAAGAAACTGTCAACAAAAAACAATTTGGGTAGAACCTTGACAGGTGATCGTGATGGAATGGTTTGCAGGTGCTATAGAACTAGTTGCAGTAGGGGAAAAGGTTCAGAAACCATGTTATCCCAAAACAAATAAATGAATAAGAGACTGATATCCAGTTTCTTTCTTTTAATTTCATTATCAGATGGGAAATGATAATCCGAGAGAAAATTAGTTATATGTCTGTGAGACCAACCTTGTTCATCTGGCTCAGACAAGCCTGGAATCCTCCCTGCAAGAGGACCCTGTTTGACAACAGCCAATCCATCTCCTGGAAATCCTAGTGTTGCCGACGGAAGAAGAGATAACCCAGAAACTAAAACTGATCTTCTGTTGAAAAACCCTGATGAGTCTTCATTCTCTTTATCACTCCATCCACTTCCTGACTGACATGCAATGGTTTTTGCTCTTAAAATCTCACTTTTTGCCACTGAAGAAGAAGCTACTTGCCGATGATACCTCCATGAAAAGCTACTGCAAATGCTTAACAAGGTTGTAACCATTCTGTTCTGGACCACAAAATTACCGGAAAAATTAGAAAGCACAGAAGTTGAAGATGGTTGGGTTGATTGAAGAAGAGTAAAGAAATTGCCGAGCTGCTGGTATGTCTTTTGTGGATGTGGTTGTCTCAGCCGTACAGGTTGTAAGATTTCCTCAAAATACCACCATTCCCGCCTGACACGTGGCATTCTATGTGATATTGGATTCAGCCACAGCAATACCATATATATTTTAATCTGATTATGCACTTTTATCCCAGAGGATAAAAGTGCGTTTGGTGCAGTTTAGTAAGTACTTTAATTATTTTTTTATATTATTTATATTTTATAAATTTATTTTTTTAAAATTTTATATTTTTAAATATTTTTTTAATATTAAAAAAAATTTTAAACAGTAAAAAATTAAAAATTTTAAATTAATTTTTCATAAATTTTTTTAATTCACTTTTTATACATTTTTAAAATTTTTAAAAGTAATTTTTAAATTTTTTCTCTAATAAAAATTTAAACTTATCACTCATGAATAGTACAAAAAAAAATAAAAACTCCAACAAACTATACCGAACAAGTCTTAAGTATCATTTATTCTTAAATTTTTCTTCATCTTAATCAAAATTTCAATTTAAAATAGAGTCAAAACTTTTAACCTTTAACCTTAAATCATTTCATTGGGTTATAGCATTATTATTTTTTTATTAAAATTATCATATTAAATTTAAATTAATTTAAAATTCAATTTATCAAATTTTATAAAAACAAAATTTTAATATTTATTTTTTTATTTATAAAATTAAAATTTAAAATATTTTTACTCGAACTAACAAATTATTGTACAACACTATAACATTACAACACTAAAAATTATAAACTTAATAAGACATTAAATAAATATAATATAATATTAAATAAATAAATATATCTATTGTAAATTTTTAAATAAAAATAATTAATTATATACTAATAATATTATATTATAATTTATAATATTATATCACAATGTACCTATAACATTTTTAAATTCGATTCCTGATCTTGAAACCTTTTTCTGCATGAATCTCGAAACCTCATGGAAATTAGAAAAAGAAAAACAATTATTACTTCATTAGATAATTTCCATTACAAGAAAGTATACAAGGATTTCAAGCCGTCTTTACAACATTCATCAAATTGAAGATTTTAGGACTTTGGCAAGTGAAAAATGCTTTACAACTAAAGATTAGTGAATCCAAATATTAGTCTTACAATTTCGTAGCCGGTATAATTGATCCCATGCATGATTAAGGCAGCGGCATAGGAGGTTTCCAGTAAGAGAATTCGACCAGGTTTCTATTGACAATAGTTTTGTTATGCAGCCAAAATGTTTCAGTTGAATGATGGAATTGCCTCACTTTCCTCTGAAGTTCCCACAATATTCCTTGCATTGCAGAACATGGCTTTGATTCTGGGGCATAAACCCATAGGCATCTTACTTGTCTACCACGAGCTATCATGGCTTCAATATCTTCATCTGAGCAGAAAGAGTAAAGTTTAGTTACATGATGCTACAGAGTACAAATGGAAGAAACAAAGATGACTAAATCTGACCTGGGATTGAAGCTAGGTAGTCCAGGAGTTGAGGACCTATTAGAGTGGATGGCCATTTGATTGATATTTGGGTGTAGTCAATGACATTCTGGAAAGGCAATTCTACTTGATCAGAGAGGATAACTGGGACACACTCCTGTTAAGAGAAAACCAGTCAACTTACTTCAACTAGTATCTTACACACATGAGAGAGACAAAGACAGAGACAGAGAGAAAAGAGACCACAAAAAATGACTCATAAAAGCGAAGGGTCCAGGATGATTCTCCTCGTGGAGCAAGGCAGAATTTGGCATTGCGCAGGTGTTGAAAATATTCCAGTCTTCCGAATTTGTTAGGGCCACTGAAGTTCAACTCTGGAGATTCCAACTGTTAAGAATATTAATATGCATATATTTTTTGGTTCATGACAAAATAAAGGATAAAACAGAATCATAATAATGCCTGTTAAAGAAAAAAATAATCCCAGAAGACAAAACATCCAGGCTCTAATGCTAATCAGCAAACAGATCCAATACCAAACTTATTAGATTGTGCGAACCAAAAGCACATAAACATAACAGCAAACAGATTCTACCACTAAATCAAGTGGAAAAACCTCATAAGATTTGATCTCTTGTAGGTCACACTCAATGGAAGCAACAGTGTCATAAATAATAAAATATCATCACTCTTGATGCAATGAAGTATTAAAGAAAGCATAAACTAAAATGACATCCCAGTTCACAATAAGAAAACTTATGCAAAAACATCTGAGATAGACATGGTTATTTCAATTGTAAGTTTTCATAGAAACCAAAACTAAACAGTCATGTATAACCCAAAATAATCAGATTCACAATTGAAGAAATTACAGAAAGACTACATACCTTATCTGGATATTGTTTGGCAAGCTCAATCAACTTAAGACGACCAACCTTTTTCTGTGCCCGACCTAAATAGTTAGCCAAATACTTTCGTTCTGATAGGGGCAATGGCTGGACCATCCTAGCCCCATCCTTAGTCATTCCATCATCAATATTTCCAGGGATGATGATGTCTTTCCATGTATTAAAGGCACTTGTGCCTCTTTTATCAGTGCGGTCTCCCTGCACCAATATACAAATCTCATAATTATACTCAGAAAAAATCACCAATAAAAAATATCAAGTCAAAAAGATGACTGCTAGGTCTATAGAACATTTAATTAGTTCCAATATCTCTTCCACAATAAAGAAAAATCAATCTTGCAACGATTATTTTTCTGCAATTAGATAGGGTTTCATTGATATTCAAATATTCTTTTTTTTTTTTTGTTTTTTTCTTTTCAACTTGAAATAATTATGCCTCACCAAAGACTAAAAATAATTTATCATCTATGGTTCAATTACATGAATATATTTCAATCATTCAAATAGAAAAAGTAAAAGTGTGCTAAATAAAGCACATAAAAATCAATTAACAGGATGAGAGTAACACCTCAGGGGTAAGAATTATGGAACGATTTATGTATGTTGCCCAAGATCTAAACATGTGAGCTCCAGCACCACTGAAATTGCACAAAAACAAGCAACAGGGCATCAGTGTCAAGAAAAACTTACAAAAACGTGTAACCATCAAGTGCATGCAAACAAAAACATGTTGGTTAAAAGTAAATCATATCTGTATGTGTTCTCTATCCTAGGCCAGACCAAAAAGGCATATATAGAAATGGCCACAGCATGCTGAGGCTGAATGCTAAGGTATTAACAAGTTCTAGCATGAGTAATATCACAAAAAAACCTATATACTAATTAGTTCTTGCATCAACTCCACTGACTCTGAATGCAGAACCATTTCCATAATCAAGTCATTTTGTCTGTCTAAATACAAAGCTAATCATTCATATAGCTCAGTTTCCAAAGATTTTATGATGCAAGAAATGAAAGATGAAAACCATAGACTTAAATTTATACCTTGGGAAAACAAATATGTGGTCACGTCCCCCAGACCGCCTAAAGTAGGGCATTTGGCTCAAAACCTGAAAAAAATAAAATAAAATAAATAAATAAATAACATTATCCAAACACCATTAACTACATACGCATGCATAATATGACACATTTTCAATAGATCAAACGGAGACTTCACCTTGACATATGTCTGATTAATCTCTTTGTCATTAAGAGCACCCACCATCCGAACACATTTAACATAAGCTGGCACAAAGAATAAATCTGCTTCCTCCTTCTTTTTTGTACGGAATTGAGATTGTAGAAGTAAGCTGTGTATTTTAACCTACAAATTTTACCAACATCAAACTAATTAAACGGCCCCAATGCAGGCATATAGATGACTCAAACAGTCACACAGCAGAGAAAAGGCTTCTAAACTGGACACACTTAAGCAGCTGAAGGACTATCATAAAGTGTCAAGCTTTCCCCTTTTCTCTTTTTATGAATCCCAATTTGCACAAAGTATCAATCTCTTCTCTAATCCCCATTTTCTAAGTAATTAAACAGATCCTAACACTCAATTAAACCAATGCTTATCTCAACAATGCTTACATTTCCAACAAAAATTTGGATAATATAGCTTCAATTATATCAAAAATAGCATTGAATCAATTTTACCTGAGTGCCCCATTGGCCTTTGAGGCAGGCACTAGCGGCGACGGTTCCATCCCTGCCGTACAACAATGCCTTCAAGCCGTCGATCTCGTTCTCGTCGTAGACATAGATCTTGAGGGATAGGCGGGATCCGTACCCTCTCTCCGGCCAGGATGGAGCTCCACCGTTACCGTCGGGGATGCGAACGACGGCGTTCTGTGATGCGAGGTTGTGATTGAAGTTGCACAGGGAAAATGAATTGTCAAAAAGTCTGGTGAAGAAGAAGGTGGCCGCTACGAGAAGGAGAGCGCCGATCTGGTGGATGCGGGTACAGGGCGTGCTGTGATGGTGAACCGACGAAGCTCTCTGCTTGTTATTCATGCTTCCCGACTGACGGTAAAACCAGCGAACTCAAGCTCAAGACACCATACTG